TTCTTAGATGCATAGCTGGTGAATGACACGGTGAAACATAATTGATTTAGGTATTCAAGTAAGTCTAAAATGGCCTTGATGCCAATCATTTGCAGTGCTGTGATTTGTTGTCGTATAACAAGGTATGCTCCGACAATAAGTCAAATTTGTCATGCATAAATGTTTCGATGAAGCGATCAAAGATCTGCTGTAAAGCTAAGTACGGTGCTTTAGTGGACTATGAAAGTTTGGGGAGGAGATTTTCAAAAACGATGAGAGGCAGACTTCACATTTTGGGAAAGAGAGAGGATTGCAAATGCTGAAGCATTGCGACAACGTCGAGAAACGGACTTAGAATACCGAGAAATGGAAAGGATTGCAAATGCTCGAGCACTAAGATTCTTCAGATGTTGCTATGTTAAAGTCAAAAACTATCTCTCCTGTCCATATTTTTTTGCTTGTTGGCGGAAACAAATGAAAGTAGGCCAAGTAACAGTACTTCAGCCATAGTACCTTAACGGTTGGGAGCCAAATAATGGACGCTCTCTCTACGTGTTACTGAAAAACAAGCCAAAATTGAATCATTTTCCCACGGAAAAACGCTGTATTCAAAATTCTTTGAAGCACATTCTTCTCAAATAAGTAAGCATAAAACAAAACCGCGCTTTTTTTAACCAAAAAATGTCAAAAACCCATCCGTAGTAAGCTCTTATAAAAGACAGAAAGACTTGGTAGCAAATACTAAAAGCAACCATCCCCTGGCAAGGCTACAGCCTTCTTAAGCATCAGTTTCATAAATAGGGAAGTCCTCTAATAAAGACAGGTTCTTGACTCCCTCATTCGTTAAAGCTTTATCAAAATAAGCTGGAAAAAAAGTGCCAATAGCAATTTACCACTGAAAAGAATTAACGAATAGTATAAAAACACCAGTGGTCATAGTGGTGGAATCGAACTTTTGACTTTCAGCATCACGTTAACAGCGTTATTTGCAGCTATCACCACCACCACCACTACGCGAAAATTGATCAAAAAATAAACTTACTGGGACAAACAAACTTCTTTCGAGGAGTAACTTTTATCGGACTTTTGCCGGTAGCATTACTGATCAAAAAATTCATCGCA